AATCCAGGAGTGGCCCCAGTGCCAAGGGGAGGAACTGGGAAAGGCAGGGATGTTGGGCTGTGTAATCCAGGAGTGGCCCCAGTGCCAAGGGGATGAACCAGCCCTGCTCTGGGAGCTGCTCCAGGTCACCCATGAGGGATCTCCCAGGCTGCCAGCCTTGGGCTGGGATCAGGAGGATTTTGGCAAAATGGGGGATCAGGTGAGCGACAGGGGCTTGGTTAAATGCCCCACCCTGCCTTGTTTCTCAATTAACAAAGCTGGGGAGGGGAGGATGCTGAGGCTGGGCTCACCGAGGGCAGCAAAGGTGTCTCTCAGATCTGCCTTGTCGATGAAGCCGTCCCGGTTCTGATCCATGATGGTGAAGGCCTGCAAGCACAGGAGCAGGGCAGGGAGCACAGGGAAAGGGACAATTGGCAGCCTTTGCAAAGGCTTTAGCACCTTTCTCCTTCTTCCTTCAGCTTGGATGGGATAAGGGCATTTTGAACCCTCCCAGGAGGGGCTCTGGGGGTCTCACTCACCCTAATCCCACACAGTCCTGGGGTGATGGCAACCCAAACCTCAAAGCTACAAACCCTTTCCTTGCCCAAATCCCTCTCACTCCAGTATGACACCAGGCAGAGAGGCCAGCCTGGGCCATCAGCTCCTCCAACTGGGGCCAGTTATCCCTGGAACTGGGATCTGCACAGGACCACATGCCTGCTGTGCAGGGGTGAGAGCTCCTGGCCAGGCAGGAGCTGGGAGATGAGCTCCAGCTCCCTCAGATGTGCTGATCCTCTGAGGGAATCTGCCTCCTGGGAGCTTGGAGGCTTTGCCAGATTTAACGGTGTCACTGAGTTGTTATTCTCACTTTTAAAATAAAACAACCCAAAACGGATCCTGCTGCCTCCTGGTGTGAGCCAGCTGTCACTTGGGAGCACCAAGGAAAGAGCTGAAGGTCACACCACATCCAGGACCCTTGGTCCTTCCCACCAAACCCACCTACCTCCTTGAATTCCTGGATCTGGGCCTGCTCGAACATGGAGAAGACATTGGAATTGGCACCCTCAATCCTCTTCTTGGCTTTCTTGGGTGCCTGCAGGAGTCCAGGTATGCACCATTAGCTCACTGGCTTTTTATGGGGTCAAATAAAAGCATGGAAGTGCCCTGGTCTTATTTGTGACTCCTTGGTGGGAGCTCTGGGCTGGGGCTCTCCTCCTTGGGGGCTCGGTGGTGTCTCCCTGCAGCTCTGCCATGCTGAGGGGCATTAAGATTCCTGCTTAAATTTCAGCTCCTGGTGAATTTAGCCAAATAGGTCCAAGGAAAGATGAGGAGTGAAATCACTTCTCCCACTAGGGTGAGATATCCCCGTTGGAACCCCGGTTTTGGGAGCACTGCTGAGGTTGCACATAAGGGTTGGAGTTAGTCAGTGCTTCTTTACCCTGCTGTGCAGATATTAAAATATGGCTTAATTAAAAATCTGCCTCCTCCTGCACTGAGGCTTGAATCAGTCAGAAATGGGTCAATGTGTGTTTTAAAGAGGACTGGAGAGCCCCTTGCTGTCCCACCCAGCCCATTATCCCTCATTCCTGTGCCTGCTCCTGCAGCTGTTTCCTCTCATGGGGGTCTGTCAGGAGGAGGATTTTGGGGGCACAAAATGTCCTTTCCTCTCATTGCATGAAGAATGGGAAAACAGAAAAATGGCATTTGGACCTAAAGCCATCTGCCCTCATTTGAAAGCTCTGCTAGCATGGGGGACACCTCTCTGCTCCCTGTGAGATTCTGCTGATCCACCCAGATGCTCCCCAGTTTTCTCACCCCCTTTCCAAGGCAGACAAAACCCTTGGCCCTCAACTCCTTGCTGCCTCCTTTTCCCCCTGCCCATTAAACTGTTCTGGTGAAAAATCAAATTAATTTTCTCTCTTGGTCTCTCAGAACTCACCATGGCTGTGCTCAGCTGCCGATGTCACTGTGAGGGGTGTCCCAGAGGCTCTCCCTCTCTCCCCCCGGCTGGAACAATAAATACACCCCCCTGGGGGTTAAAAATAGCCCCATGCCCACTTTTGGCTGTAATAGGTAATTTGGCCGCCCCCAGCCCTGTTGTCTCTGCCTTTCTCTGTCCCTCTCTCTCTCTAATCTGGAATGGCAGCTTGTTGTTGTCACCGGCTGCCGTGACATGTGAGCCCGGCAGGGTTTCAAGGTTAGCCAAGCTCCGGTGGCCCCCAGCTCCCACACCGGGGATGCTCGGGGACAATCCCACCTGCCTTTGTCACTCGGGATGGCGCCGGGCTTGTCCCCTCCGCTGGGAGGGCTTGGCCCCAGGGGACCCCGCTAGAATCCCCCAAGTTTTGGGACACGGATGTTTCTCCTCGGTGCTTCCAGGAGTTT